CATATTGCTGCACAGTTGATCTAGGGTTTTGGCCTTTGCTCTACAGCATCGCTTATTACTAACCACTGGATTAGGTGGAATAGTGGTTTGTTCTAGTATGTCATCTGAATGCTTAAACATAATCTACTTTTGAAAAGACATTCCAGTTTTATGTACGGTGTGTACAGTAGTGACATAAGGCATTAATACAGTTCAGACCAAAAAAAATGTGTTTTCATGAAGCAGCAATTTGTAGCAATCGTAGAACAAAGTCTTCTGCTCCCTATGCAGGAGGAGATCAGAAAAGAACCTGGACCTACGTAACTCATTTTCTTCCCATTGTGTTTGTCCATTAACCAGATGAAGCGCACACTTCCCATGCTGTTCCATTCATACAGCCTAGCGTTCATTCAGAAACAGAATGTTTCCTTTAGTTGATGGATTAAAGGCAGGAGGGGGGGAGGGGTGTAAAAATGTTTTGGGATGTGCAATACTTCAGGAACAACGTTTAAAGGTTAATTCACGCTAAAAGTTTGTAATGTATTTTTTTTACACAACTTCAGAACAAAACAGGTGCTGCCTCTTAAATGCGCAAAAATAACTTTTTTAAAAAGCAAGACCTAAAGCAGTTTTTTGTGCAATTGCTGAGAAGTTAATGTCAGGTTATTTTTAAAATCAATCTTATATTACACTTTCAATACAGTATAGAGACTAAGTGAACAATTTTTATTTTGCCATGCCTTGACTAATCTAGTATTATATTTTGGTAAGTTGAAATATGAACCTAGGAACATGTATTAGTGACCTTAAAAAAACAGCAAGTAAACTGTAAGCAACTTTAAAGGTTATTGTTTGCTTTTCATCTTCACTTGCAGACCAGGTGTCTCTAGCAAAGCAAATCTGAGGAAAAGCTACTTTTGTTGGAGTCTCTTTGTGACTAAAACAGATGACATAAAGAGCAGGTGTTAAAATAGTGAAAAAGGCAAACAGCAGTTATTTTACAAACAGCAGTTATTTTACAGGATGTTTAGATGTGGAACAGCTACAAAAAAATCAGGCTATTCTAAAGCATCTTATTTGGAAATCTTTGCTCAAATAAAAGAAACATTTCTCTGTCTTGTAAAATAGAATTTGCCTTTTGATCCCCCAAAGAATGGGTTAGATATACTTATCCTATTCCTCTTGTAACTGATTTCCCAGGGACTGACAGGAAAAAGCATAGTTTTTACTAAATAAGGATGCTGGAATTTGCTTACTGGTTTGTGTTTACCTGATGCCACTTACGATACTGTGTTTGCCTACTTAAGTGGCATTTAGCACTGGAGTCCTGTGTGTGATTTTACTATTTACGTTAGGAAATTGCTTAGCAGCTGGGTAGATTAGACTGTTTTACTTTGTGTGTTTTTAATCCTGCATTGCACATCTGTTAATGTTGGTCTTAACATTACAATAGTGAGCATTGTAAATTAATGTGTATGTTTGCCTGTGAGATTAAAAAACAAAAGCTACTGAACTGACATTATTTGGATGTCTAAATTAAGCATCCAAAACCCATAAAGACAGATTTAGAGGCCCACACTGCAGCCTTCAAGTGTATGCATTTTGGATTTAAGCATCAAGGTTCATCTTCAGGTAGATGACAACACTGTGCTTTCTGCTTTGAAGTGTGACTTCTGTTTCTAACACACACAAATTCTCTAGCAGGTTCCTTTGATTGGCTTATGCTAGTTCTGTAACACTGTAGCTGATGAGAGAAGTGAACCCTAATGCAAAATTATGTTATAATCATGTAAGCATAGAATTGGCTACTCAGAGAATTGTGAATTCTGCCCATTCGCAACAAATATTTCTTTCTCTATGAAAAAACCACTTATGACATCACTTGAACACTTATTTGGAGATACTATGTCAACTGCTCAGTTAAGTCCTCAAAATATTTATTGCTTAGAAGACAGGCATCTTGGTGTGAAACATAAACACTCATAAATTTACTATGCAATTAAACTATACTATCAGACCTTTTCAGGTACCAGTGAAATGAAGGTTTGTTAAATCCAGATCTATTGAACTAGTATAGCACTTAGAATCAAGTGAGTTTCTATTAAAATGTGGAATAGTGATCAGGTTTATTCTCCAGTAATATTAAGACTATAAGCAGCATAATTTTTTTTTCTGCTGTTCAAGGTATGATTTTACAAATGTTGCCGCTTTGGCAATAAACATGTCATTTTCCCTTCTTTACAATGGAGTTGCGTTAAAGGAAGCTATGTGGTATCTGCAACACCTTTTCCAGAATATTTTTCCCTTGGATATTGTATATTTGAGTGGAAATCTTACAGGATGCGAAAGATATCCGCTAATGAACTTTCTTGAAATTCTGTCACTTCACCAGGCTAATTTCACTGCAAGTCAGACTTGCAGTCTTTGCTTAGAATTACAATTCTTTATCAGTGGAGCTGACATATGTTCATTTCTGCATGCAAGTTTTGAAATCATGTTTCAAATACCATTTTTCAAACATGCTTCAGGTAAAGGTACATTCTATATTCTTTAAATAGAGACAAAATAGCCCTTGTCAGTTAATTATAAATTAGTAGGTGGTTCTTCCATGTCAGAAATTTCAGACGTGCTCGCAGTCTGCCTGCATATGTAGTTACTGTTTGTCCAAGGAACTCAAATGCAATGACAAACTTTAAAGCACAAGCTCTGCAGAACAGCGCAGTTCTCTGTTCCTTCCTAGTCAGTAAAATTGTGTTCTCAGACTCCAAAACAACTTTTTGATTGAAAGGTAATTCAGAAATTTAGTTTAGATAATGCATTTTGTGAATTTCAAAACCGTTAGAAGAAAAAAAAAACCCACAATGAAATCGGTAAGAGGATGCTGGAAACAAGATTTTTAGAATAGAAATGATCTTATCCTACCTTCATTAGCCACTGAGTGTTGTTTTCCATGATGTTTTCAAGTAGTTGCAGTCTTTGAACCGAGTCGTCATAATCTAAAGGTGCATCCCTTTGCACTGCGTTGGACACGTAAGAAGTAGAAGATCGGCAGTTGTCCGTCTCGGGCAGAAGGAAGGTATAGCTGCATGACCCATGCTGGACCTGGTACTGCTTCTTGCCTATCGTCTCCATGCTCTTACTAAAGGAGTTGTATCCTGAAGCTAAGAAAACACTGCAGCCCAAAAAGAAGTAAACAGTCAGCTGCATTTTAATTCCTGCGGTAACCCAGCAAACCTAGAGTGCTCTGGCGCGCGAGCGAGAGCCCAGACCTAGTTAACCTGCGCTGAAATCGAGTGCTCTGCTGCCATGTGCCGCCTGAAGGCGGGCTGGGCTTTTTTACCGTCCCGGTTGCAAAAAGCGGCCCCCTCGAAGCTGCGGGAGCCGGCCCCGCTCGGCCCGCAAGCCGTGAGGCTTTCTTCTCCTCGCCCGTGTCAAGATTTTGCGGCCTCGGCACCCGAATCAATCACTCTCCTTCCCTTATATGATAAGTTGATAAGAGCAGGCAGACATGTGGAGCGGAGCTGCTCCTCCCTCCCGGCCTCGCCAGTGCCTTCCTGCCGGGGGGGGGTCATTTGCAAAGCGCGCTGCGGGGAGCGCGCTCGCCCTTGACCCCTGCGAATTCCTGCAGCACGGCTCCAATTAAGAATTTCCTAGACAGAGCAATCAGTTCCGATAGCCTCCAACTATGCTTGTAAATTGTTTGTGGGGGTAATCATTTTCAAACGCTGACCAAAAAAAAAAAAGAGGTCCTGGGCTTGTTTGTTCTTCTTAACGATTTTTTTTTTTAAATGTGCTGCACCGAGATGTAATTTCGTTTGTGTTTAGTGCATTGTATAATTACAGAGAAAGACACTTTTGTCCGAAGCGTACAAAAGCAGGCTTGGGCATGTCCTTTCAAAGAGAGCAAGAGAGGGGTTTTAATTAAAAGGTTTCAGTTGAACACAGACTTTATGTTTTACTGAATCTCTGAGATGAATACTCATTTTCAGGCATGTCTTTCAAGAGTTAAGCGTTCTCAAGCTTTTTTTTTTTTTTTTTTTTTTTTTAAAGGCTTTTTTGTCTGTATTAAATGGCTAACTTTGGAAGTGCTAACATTAGCAAGAGTTACAAATCACAAGTCAGCTGGGACTGGAAGAGGGAATAACTATCCAGACACGGTGGCAGTAAGGCATGCCTCAGGAAGTGGCATGGCTGAATAGCAGTTACCCGATCAGCTCTCGCTAGCCCAATTCTGTGCCCTTGGAAGTGGGAAATACCTGTAAAAGGTGAGGGAAAACTCTAACAAAGTATTTGAAATGTATACGTAAGAGTAAAAAGGAGCTTCCCCCTACTTCCCGCTCCCATGTTCTCTGCAATGATGAGTGGTCTTGAAAAAGCGGAA